TTCAAGGACCAAAACAGGCGTGGATTTTTTAAAGAATATTTTTTCAAGGACCAAAACAGGCGTGGATTTTTTAAAGAATATTTTTTCAAGGACCAAAACAGGCGTGGATTTTTTAAAGAATATTTTTTCAAGGACCAAAACAGGCGTGGATTTTTTAAAGAATATTTTTTCAAGGACCAAAACAGGCGTTGATTTTTTAAAGAATATTTTTTCAAGGACCAAAACAGGCGTGGATTTTTTAAAGAATATTTTTTCAAGGACCAAAACAGGCGTGAATTTTTTAAAGAATATTTTTTCAAGGACCAAAACAGGCGTGGATTTTTTAAAGAATATTTTTTCAAGGACCAAAATAGGCGTGGATTTTTTAAAGAATATTTTTTCAAGGACCAAAACAGGCGTGGATTTTTTAAAGAATATTTTTTCAAGGGCCAAAACAGGCGTGGATTTTTTAAAGAATATTTTTTCAAGGACCAAAACGGGCGTGGATTTTTTAAAGAATATTTTTTCAAGGACCAAAACAGGCGTGGATTTTTTAAAGAATATTTTTTCAAGGGCCAAAACAGGCGTGGATTTTTTAAAGAATATTTTTTCAAGGGCCAAAACGGGCGTGGATTTTTTAAAGAATATTTTTTCAAGGACCAAAACAGGCGTGGATTTTTTAAAGAATATTTTTTCAAGGACCAAAACAGGCCTGGATTTTTTAAAGAATATTTTTTCAAGGACCAAAACAGGCCTGGATTTTTTAAAGAATATTTTTTCAAGGACCAAAACAGGCGTGGATTTTTTAAAGAATATTTTTTCAAGGACCAAAACAGGCGTGGATTTTTTAAAGAATATTTTTTCAAGGACCAAAACAGGCGTGGATTTTTTAAAGAATATTTTTTCAAGGACCAAAACAGGCGTGTATTTTTTAAAGAATATTTTTTCAAGGACCAAAACAGGCGTGGATTTTTTAAAGAATATTTTTTCAAGGACCAAAACAGGCGTGGATTTTTTAAAGAATATTTTTTCAAGGACCAAAACAGGCGTGGATTTTTTAAAGAATATTTTTTCAAGGACCAAAACAGGCGTGGATTTTTTAAAGAATATTTTTCTTCTTCTTTCTACTTCTACATCTGTCTCATTTACGGCCATGCACCGACCGAAGACAAAGATGAGCAGATCAAATACATATTTTACGAGCGCCTAGAAACATCATATGACCGCTGCCCTGGCCATTACATTAAAATGCTACCAGGAGATTTTAATGTGAAAATCGGAAGGGAAAACATCTTTGGCCCCACCGTCGGAAAACTCAGCCATCATGAAGAAACATCTGACAATGGCATGAGGTTGATTGATTTCGCAGCACCAAAAAACATGGTAGGCCACCTGGATTTCTCCTGATCAAGCAACGAGAAATCAAATTGATCATGTTGTGATAGACGAAAGGCATTCATCCAGTGTATTAGACAGCCAAGGTTCGCACTCCTCTTTATGTTGCAGCAAAGGTGCGATCTAACACAACACGGAAACTCGACGTCGAAAAGTTGCAAACACAACAGGTAGCCGAGACCTCCTTCCACCCACCTGCTTGACGAAAGCACTTCTTGTCCCGAAGGTTTTGGTGCAGGCACATCCTCCTGTAGAGATGAAGAAGGAAACCTGGTGACCGATACAGACAGCGTGCAGAGGATCTGGAAAGAGCATTTTGAAAAGCTTTTGGTATCAAATAGTGGCGGTGAAGAAGATACCCCAAAACCAATAAGAGATGACGGTACACTGATGAAGTCAGAGTAGCAATTAATCGACTGAAGAACAATAAAGACGATGGGTTACCCGTCGAAATATTCAAGACTGGAGGTCAGATTCTGGTCAGGATCATTCACCAGCTGATTAGTACAATTTGGCTAAATGCCAAAACTGGACCAAGGCGTAAATTTTTAAATAATATTTTTCCAAGGACCATTACAAAACGTGAATTTTTAAATAATATTGCTTAAGGACCAACACAAGGCAAGGGTTTCTTAAGGAATAATTTTATTTTTTCAATTTGTGGACCAATTGAAGAATATTTTTAAATACCATTGCAAAACGTGGATTTTTTAAAGAATATTTTTCAAAGGTCATTATACGGAGTTCATGTTTATTCCAAAGACTTTTACATGACCTGGGTGTTTTAAAGATATCCTTGAGCCACATTTTAAGAAACTCATTAGTCTTAACTTTATACAAACGTTTAAATACTTTACACATGACAGCCATGTCTTCAGAGACCCAGTTGTTTCACATAAAATTGACATTGCATTCAAAGTCATCCATAGTCAACTATATATACACATATGAATGTATGTGTACAAATACACATAATGTGCATGTGTTTGTATATTTGTTTGTTTGTATTTTTCACTTGGTTGTTATATAGAGTTGCAGCAGTCCATTTCCAGCCATCATCATCGTCATCCTCATATCTCTGCTGCTATTATAAATTTTTATTTTTACAGTTTATGCCCTTATTTAGCAATATTCTTCGTTCATTCGTCTTTCTTTCATCTGATGTTTCATTTTTTTTCTTTTTGTAATTTCATTTATGGATTTCTTTGGCACTATTGCACTATCTCAACTGTTTGTGTTACTTACTTTGCGGACATGACATATTGACTTTTCCGTTATTTCAAAATGGGGCGGTAAACTTATGGCCAATATATTTAAACAGATTTCGTGTAGGGATTTTCTTTAAGAGTTGCGAAGCTTAAGATAGTATTTACGATTTACTCGAATTTTTCACAACTTAATTTGTTGAGAACTAAATTAGGTTTTTTGCTTAAAAAATGTAAATATATGAAAACCAATGAGCGGAGCAGTATAGTCGGACGGGGCCGACCATACGATACCCTACACAACTTCCACGGAACTCAAATTTTCTGCGGATGTTTATTCTGAGCCTGGGCAATATTTCGTGGTATTGGCATCTTCTTGCCCGATTCGAGGTAAACAGCACCTCTTCCTGAGGTGTCATATTTTGCGAATATTACGCGTATTCAGTACACCTATTGTCCAAATTCCCTTCACCGTGGGTTGTGTTGTGATGTTCGGCTTTCATTTGTGGTCTATATATTGATTCGAAAATAACACAAAAAATTAAGTTTTCGGTCCACTTCATTCCAAAATTATTATGTGATCATCACCGAAAATTATAGGCGTTGCCCTTGACCATAACTGGAACCTTATGGAACATTTCAAAGCGATCAGCGCTATAGTTCCGCGCTCTAGAGTGATAATGGGTTACTAAATAATATACGGATACGGTGATACCTGTAAATATTTAGGTGTAACTCCCACATCCGGGAACATACAACAATACAATTGGTATTAATTTAAAGGTCAACCACTCCTCTTGGATATAATATCAACATCTCGGGTCTATGTCATTCAGAGGTAAATATATACGCTATAGAATACAAAATTTGTAATTTTTCACACAAAAGTCAGGGTCCATTTGACCCGCTAGATATTGACCAATCTTTATCAAAACAGGCATGCTTATTCTTTGGCCCGATCCCCTTCTCCATGCAAAATTTCACGATGTTCGGGCTATTATTGCGGCCTCTGGAGCGACTAGAAAAACCGACAAAAATTTAGTATTTGGTCCATTTCATCCCCTAAATATTAACCGATCTTTCCCAAAAACAATTGGGGTCTTCATTGGCCAGAACCCATCCTACATGCAAAATTTCGTGAAGATTGGTCCATAACTGTGGCCTGTATCGTGTTTACAAATTATAATGGACAGACGGACGGACGGACGGACGGACACACATGTCTAGATCGACTCAGCTAGTCGAGATATGACGATCGGTATACTTAAAGGTGGGTCTAGGACCAATATTTCGCGGCGTTACAAACATTTGGGGCTGCACAAAGCTATAATACCCTGACAACATAGTTGTGTAGGGCATAATAAAATTATTAACCCATCTACAATGTAGCTAATCAAAGTAATCATTTTGAAAAATCTAAGCTTTACAAAATTGTTCTGGCTTATTTAATTGTTATATTTTTTTATTATTTTCCTAATTCCAGTATCCACCTCCTGAACTATTGGAGAAACTTCGACCAGTACATGATGTTTGTGTTGCTAAAACTGGTGTAACTGACGGTATGTAAAGAACAAAATTTCTGTAACTATTTGTATAAAGAACAAGTAAAATACATCAATAAATTTGGTCAGGCGGAACTTATTACACTTTCAATGTGTGATGGACATTAATACTATCAAAAATATGGGGATTTTGTCAAAACATAGTTCTACACTGACAGTTAGTCTGGTTTGCAAATTCGGCTAGAACATTCAACACACCGACAATCATGTGTGATTTATATGGTAGCTATGGAAAAACCGCCGAATTCGGTTAAAAATGTGCCTACAACCTTCAAGAAATGGAGACAAAACCAAAACATGGGCCTTTATTGATCCTCTTCTAAGTTTTTCTAGACATTGAATTCCGAATTCCAAATTACATCCACTTCAAGACAGGGCCTTTTTATGGGACTGTATCAATATTCGGAAATTCCCTGAACATTTGTCTTCAGCCCGAAAGATCCTGTTATGCCAAATTCCATTCTTTGTGGGGTCTCCGACAAATCATTCAAGGAGTTGAATTCGCCTGGACAAATTTAAAGTATAATGAACATTAAAATTAAAATAGTTTTATTATTTTTTACGTATTCTCCACCTTTCTCAACGTCTACAGGAGGAGTGGATTTAAAAACATATCTATTTTTCAAGATCTATAGGAGGCGTGGATTTTAAAAATATTTTCCTCGAGGTCTATAGGAAATCTATTGGAGACGAGGATGTTAAATAAAATATGTTTTCAAGGTCTATAGAAAAATTCAAAGCCTTCAAGAGGCGTGGATTTAAAAAAAAAAAATATTTTTTTCAATGTCTATGGAAAGCGTGTATAAACCAGTGAACGGAGCAGTAGTGTCAGACGGGGCCGACGATCTTTAGCAAAACAGGCATGCTTATTCTTTGGCCCGATCCCCTTCTCCATTCTAAAATTCGCTATGTTTGGGCCTTAATTGCGGCCTCTTGAGCGACCAGAAAAACCGACAAAAATAAAGTTTTTGGTCCATTTCATCCCCTAAATATTAAACGATCTTTTCCAAAAACAATGGGGGTCTTCATTGGCCAGAACCCATCCGACATGCAAAATTTCGTGGAGATTGGTCCATAACTGTGACCTGTATCGTGTTTACAAATTATAATGGACAGACGGACGGACGGACACACATGTCTAGATCGACTCAGCTAGTCGAGATATGACGATCGGTATACTTAAAGGTGGGTCTAGGACCAATATTTCGCGGCGTTACAAACTTTTGGGGCTGCACAAAACTATAATAACATAGTTGTGTAGGGTATAAAAAGGGTATACGGAAGGTGTGGATTAAAAAAAGTCTTCCTAGGTCTTTAAGAAGTGTGGATTTAAATAAAAACCCAAGGTCTTTAAGAGGATTTCTTAAACAATATTTTTTCAAGGTCTATAAAAGACGTAGATATTAAAAAAAATATTTTGCAGGTCTATGAGAGGCGTAGATATTTAAAAAAATATTTTCCAGGTCTATAAGAGGCGTGGATTTTTAAAAGAATATATTTTGAAGGTCTATAAGAGGCGTAGATTTTTAAAAGAATATATTTTCAAGGTCTATAAGAGGTGTGGATTTTTAAAAGAATATATTTTCAATGTCTATAAGGACTTTTAAAATATTTTGTCAATTTCTATAAGAGGCGTGGATTTTTAAAAGAATATTTTTATACCCTACACAACTATGTTGTCAGGGTATTATAGCTTTGTGCAGCCCCAAATGTTTGTAACACCGCGAAATATTGGTCCTAGACCCACCTTTAAGTATACCGATCGTCATATCTCGACTAGCTGAGTCGATCTAGACATGTGTGTCCGTCCGTCCGTCCGTCCGTCCGTCTGTCCATTATAATTTGTAAACACGATACAGGCCACAGTTATGGACCAATCTTCACGAAATTTTGCATGTAGGATGGGTTCTGGCCAATGAAGACCCCTATTGTTTTTGAAAGGGATCGTTTAATATTTAGGGGATGAAATGGACCAAAAACTTTATTTTTGTCGGTTTTTCTGGTCGCTCCTGAGGCCGCAATTATGGCCCAAACACCGCGAATTTTTGCATAGAGAAGGGGATCGGGCCAAAGAATAAGCATGCCTGTTTTGACAAAGATCGGTCAATATTTAGCGGGTCAAATGGACCCTGACTTTTGTGTGAAAAATGACATAATTTGTATTCTATGGCGTATATATTTGCCCCTGAAGGACCTAGACCCAAAAAGTTGATAGTATCTTCAAGAAGAGTGGTTAACCTTTAAACTGATACCAATTGTATTGTCGTATGTACTCGGATATGGGTGTTACACTTAAATGTTTACAGGTGCTTACGTACTCAAATATTATTTAGTAACCCATTACCACACTAGAGGGCGGAAATATGGAAATATAGCACGCATCACTTTCACTAATATCCAGGTATGTCAAGGACAACGCCTATAATTTTCGGTGATGATCAGATAATAATGTTGGGATGAAGTGGACCGAAAACGTATTTTTTGTTTGTTTTTTTTTTTTCTAGTCGATCTACCAGCCACAATTGAAAGCCGAACATCACAAAACAACCCACGTTGAAGAGAATCTGGACAAGTAATTAGAAGGACTGTACTGAATATTAGTAATATTTGTGGACCTCTGGTGGGTCATGAGGGTGCAAACATCGCGAAATATTGCCCAAGCTCAGAATGTGGTACCACAGAAAGTTATATGTTCATGGAAGTTGTGTAGGGTATCATATGGTCGGCCCCGTCCGACTATACTGCTCCGCTCACTGGTTTCAATTTCTATAAGAGGCGTTGATTTTTAAAAGAATATTTTTTTCAATTTCTATAAGAGGCGTTGATTTTTAAAAGAATATTTTTTCAATTTCTATAAGAGGCGTTGATTTTTAAAAGAATATTTTTTCAAATTCTATAAGAGGCGTTGATTTTTAAAAGAATATTTTGTCAATTTCTATTTATATAACAAATTCCCCCGAAAATCTATATAAATTTCACAAATTCTCCGAAAACTCGTTGCGCGTATAAAAAAATTCCTATTTGCATCACCAAAATTGCTATTCGATATCTAACGCATAGATTTTTCCCACTAAATTTTCCCACGTATTCACATTTCAACTCCCATCTCCCTATCATCTTACACATGTTCTAGAGGCAATTAAAAAGTTCAGCGATGAGGAAATACACGAGGACGAACTGCTCAAGTGTTACATGTATTGTATATTCGATGAAATGGATGTGCTGCATGACGACGGTGAGGTGCACCTCGAAAAGGTATTGGATTTGATGCCCGACTCTATGCATGACCTAGCAATAAATATGGGCAAAAAGTGTCTTTATCCGAAGGGTGATACCACCTGTGAGAGGGCTTTTTGGTTGCATAGCTGCTGGAAAAAAGCAGATCCCGTGGTAAGTGTCAACAATGTTCGGTAAACAATTAATGTCAATTAATGGAACATCTTCAATACACAAATTTTTACAGCACTACTTTTTGGTTTAACTCCGTATTTGGTTGTTTGCGAATGACATCAACAATAAAATAGAGAGAATACTTACACGAATTTAGTTTCATGGAAAAAAACAGTATTAAAAGGGTTTGGTGAGACGCATATTTTTTTTTAAATTTATATTGTTTAATACTAATAGAATAAAATCAAATGAATTGTATATTAATTATATTGAAATATTCTTAAGTTAATAATATTTTATTATCAGCCTTATGGCCACAGAAGTTATATAGGCTTTGTTGCGAAAAATAAAATGGAAAATAATATGTTCTACACCAAGGGTTGTATAATTGCACAAATATTTGAAGATAAAACGATAAACTGAATTAGATTCTGAAATTCGAGTTCATGACCTAAGAGTGGAAAAGTCATTTGCGAGTGTGTAAGGAAAGCAGAAGGACAAATTGGCCATAGGTCAAGTTTTTGGTAATTCTAAAGTTCATTAAGAAACAAAATTATATATTCCGTCCATATGTAGTATCTGTGCCTCTTTTTTGTCCAAGGCAAGGATCGGGTAAAAGTGAAAATGAACGATGAAAATATATGAATATGGTTTCCTTGTCTTTGGAGGCCCTATCTAAAATTTCATTAGCAACATTTCTGTAGAATAATTTGAGGTCAAACAATTTGTATGCTCCTTACTTTCCGAGCAACGTTCGCGTAGCTAATTGCGTCTACAATAAAGCCTATTATTTGTTTTATTATGTGGAATTTTTAAAATTTTTGACTTGGTTTTGAGGGTTAATTTTTACCTATTATGTTTATGTCAACACTGATTTAAAATTAACCATCGATTCATGGTTTTTCAAAGGGACAACGCCTGCACCGTAATTCTTTTTTTCCAAAATACAAGAGCTTGACTTGATTTCAACTAGGCGGTGCCGCATACATTACATCACTAGTAATAATGATCTTATTGAGAGGAGATATTGGTGAACATTTTATTTTATATTCGGGACCGCCCAATTGGCAGCCTAGATCACCCGATTTAACCCCTTGACATTTTTTTTGTGGGATTATGTCAAAAGAAAGAACTTTGGGGCTATGTGATAAAGAACTATTGTTTGTTTTTAAAATACCCTATGGGTGGAAGTAACCTATCTAACGGTGAAATTAACTCCGACTTCTGCTGCCGGAGTTAATTTAGGACCTTATACCTGCCTCTCATATTGTGGCAAATAGCGGTGACTAGCATGGGCAATTTAAATAAACAATCAAATGTTACTCTTAAAACATAAGGGTAGTTTGTGGTCGGAATTTGAGCACCATCGATAATAATGTTCTGTGGGAGCTCCATTTCAATCGTCCATGTGGTGAACACAGTATGGCTTTGGATTTCAAATACCTTCATATTCCTCAGATGGAAGAACTGTACCAAATCAGATATCAGACATTTAACATATTTCAGAAAGGTAGATATTTAACAGTTGCGGATACATGCATATTCCTTGGGGAACGCCATATTTTTACTCTACGGTCTTTTGACTTCTTATTTCAGAATTCCACATGTGTCGGGCGACCACACATATAACTGATCGTCCAACGTTTCAAATTAAGCCGGAGGATGGTCTTCTCTAAGTCCCCCGTGATTGGCAGTACCGAAGGCTTTCGGTGGGTCAAGAGCAACTAAAAATCTTATATCGCCCTGTTTGTTATGTCCTCTGCTTATATGTGTGGTTATGGCGTGTAATGCACAGCATCGGAAGAGTACAGTGTCAAGCATCTTCGCTAGTGGTGGTAGAATCCCCCTTGCTTCAGTAGCGGGACCACCCTGCCGAATTTCCCGGCTTCAGGAACTGTTTAATAATAATCTAAATGTGTCAGACGTTTTATAATACTTCCTTCCATGATTCAAGATTGATATAACCGTTACTACTCCAATGATGCGAACTATTGTCGGCTAAATTACGTGGGGTACATCTATTCATCGGCGCGATGTACACGCTGCTGACGTAAAGCGTGAGCTCTTTCACTTCACGACGAAGATCATTCGCAAGTATCGTAACATGGGATGTTTGGTCTTTTTTCGGGTATTCGTACAGCTGGGGGCTGCAGCAGTGATGATGTCTCTGAAATATCTATCAGCTTCCGGGGACAGTTGGTTAAATCTCTGAAACCTTGACAATTACCATGGTTCCGGAAAGTACGGCGTTCGAAGGTAATGAAACCTAATGATCTATTAACGGAGACAATGATGTGGATGTAGTCTGATCTGAGGGAAATTCTGGATTGTCAGATTACGCAATTTATCAGACCCGGTTCCAAAATGATATTAGGCGAACTGTGGCAATCTCCTGTAATTCTCGTGGGGGATCCTAAATCACCATTCAAAATGTTGTGCTACCGAATTCCTTCGCCGCTGTACTCCTCTGGCATTTATCTAGGACGGAATGCAAGAATGGCATTGAAAGCGCCTTACAAATTGAGTTCTCGTGCCAAACAGTTGTAAAAACACCGCGTCGTTTGATGCGAACACAATAAATCGCCTATATCTTCAAGAATTATTGAGAAATGAATGCCTATGAAATATATTAGGAACATTCTTGAATTCGTAGAGGTTCGAATTGAATTAAATAACAAATTTCAAGTTTTTGAAACCGTGAATGGGGTGCTCTCCTTAAAGCTCATGTCTATACAGACAAGCCCGAATCAAAACAATAATTATGTGGCAGGTTGTGCAGTGTGCTTGCTATTTAACAACTAAATATATTTATTTAAATGAAATTATAGAAACATTGAAACCTATACTTAACTTAATTCTTTTAAATAAAATATGTCATTGTCCATCATCCATTTAGGGTAGGAAATAATGCTGAAAACAAAAAAAAAATAATAGATAATCTATAAAATGAAAATGTGATCATCATAATTACCACGGGATCCGTTGTTTTGAAGCACATATGCCAAGACCAAGATCGTTCACACTGATTAGCACCCTGGGGGACATGCGATTCACAGACATTGAGAATATTGACGACAAAGTCTTCTATTTCGGCAGGCAAATGACGTTTCAATTTGTTATAATCCATCTCGTCATTATCATCGACAACATGCATTTCTTGAAATATACAATGCATGTAACATTTTAAAGCCTCATCTTCGACAATTTCACCATCGCTGAATTCCTTAATGGCATCTGAGCAAAAAGAAAAAAAAAAACATTAATAATATATGTATACAAACAATTATATTCTGAGAAACTTGACAACGCAAAAACCCAGGATGTCTAATTATAGCCAATTCAATAGAAAAACCAGTAAGGAAAGTATTAAAGTCGGACTAGGCCGACTGGGCCCTTCACCACTTTGGGTATATTCTACATATGTATCCTGACAGAAATTGAACGAACTTAAATATGTGATCTTCATCTATAAGTAGACCGACTAACATCAATCCCTACACATGCTATTCTGCAACCTATTCTAAATTTTGTAAATCGATTTAAAGCAAACTTAATACACGCTATTTGGTATGTTGCACTTTTTAAAATTTAATCAGACATCTATTGATTTCTTGGTGTACAATCAACATGAAATATATATAAAAGATATGCTATATCTAAATCTGAACCGATTTCAAAAAACTTGCCAGAGATCAATTTATATTATCTTCAGTACGTTGTGTCAATCAGACACTCTTTAGGTCTTTAGTGCACCATTTACTTACATTAATCTGAAATCTGAAACGATTTTTGTGAAATTTAGCACACATCATTCTGGACTTAATTCAGTACGCTCTGCCAAATTTCGTGCATATCGAATGATATTTCGGGAATTTGGCGCCATTTACCTTAAATCGGACGAAAATATATATGGGAGGTATATATAAATCTGGACCGATTTTCAGGAAACTTAACACACATCATTCTATACCTAATTCATTACGTTGTGCCAAATTTCGTGCAAATCGAAAGATATATAGGGACTTTGGTGCACTATTTACATTAAATCGGATGAAAATATATATGGGAGCTATATCTAAATCTGACCCAATTTTCAGGAAACTTTACGCACATCATTCTAGGCCTAATTCATTACGCTGTGCTAAATTTTGTGCAAATCGAAAGATATATAGGGAATTTGGTGCACCATTTACATTAAATGGGACGAATATATATGGGAGCTATATCTAAATCTGAGCCGATTTTTAGGAAACATAACACACATCTTTCTAGACCTAATTCAGTACGCTGTGCCAAATTTCGTGCAAATCGATAGATATATAGGGACTTTGGTGCACCATTTGCATTACATCGGACGAAAATATATATTGTTCCTATATCTAAATCTGAACCGATTTTTCCCAATTTCAATAGGGTTCGTCCTTGTGAGCGAACTAAGTGAGCTATGCCAAATTTCATTCAAATCGGATTATAAATGCGACTTGTACTTTGTTTACAATTTAACACGGACAGGCGGACGGACATGCATAAATCGACTTAAAAAGTGATTCTATGCTTATTCTCAAAAGGAACCATGTGTCTATCTCGTTTCCTTTTGCCTGTTAAAAACATATGCACAGAGACATAATACCCTGTACCACAGTGTGGTGAAGGGTATAATTAAGCTATGACCATGAACATAAATATAATAGGGGGCGGTTATTTCATTTCTGTGGTTGGTAGTTTTCTGCGAAATAAAAATTTTAATAAAACATAGTTTAGCAACTTTGGTTCGAACATAAGACAAAGGAACTACCTTCCAACCAATTCTGTATATGGGGGCTATGTCCAAACTTGGCAAAAATTGTATTTTGCCGTAAATTGATCGCACAATCGATTCAACCAATACAACAACGATTTAAAAATAAATTTTTGAAAATAATGCTCATCCTGTCATAAATCTTATAACTTTTACATACCTTCAGATACTCCTGTTTTTCCAACGCAAACATCATGCATAGTTATAAATCTTTTCAAAAAATCTGGTGGAGGATACTGAAATAAAAAAGGGTAAATGCACACTTCATGAATACAATAAGGATATGAAACCAATAAATAGA